TGCTGCAATGTGGGCGCTTTCGTGGGCGTGTGTGTGTGTGGCGTGTCGCGGACGTTGAGTCGGGTCAGTGCGGCCCCCTCACGCCCTGTTCGCGGAGAACCAAAAAGTACTCACAGCAACCGTTTTCGTGAATTCTTGCCAGGAGAACCGTGCTGTGCACCCCTGTAGCCCATTGCGATTAACGCTGCGGCGGCTCAGAAACGGTGGCCGGCATTCAGCGTGTCGTTCATGGCAAGCGATTGGTTTGCTCAAAGCGTAAACGAGGCACGGGCCGGGCTAGGTCAACCTGAAAGTGGGATCACCGTCAGAAAGTTTTTTAAAAGGCTGGGATAATTCGAGCAAACGTTGATAAAGCAGACATTGATAATTCACCATAAGGTAACTTTGGCTAACTTTGGCTTTGGCTAATATCATTCGAGCAAACATTGGTAATTAACCATAAGGTAACTTTGGTTAATATCATTCGAGCGAACATTGATAGTTACCCATTAGGTAACTTTGGTTAATATCATTGGAGCAAACGTTGATAGTTAAGCATAAGCTAACTATGGTTAATATCATTCGAGCAAACATTGACATTTAACCATAAGTTAACTATGGTTAATATCATTCGAGCAAACATTGATAGTTAACCATAAGCGGGATGTTTGGATGGTTCGAAGCTGATCCACATTCGTTCGGTTCTTCCGAGAGAACCGCGGCTCTTGCATCGGCTCTTTCCATGCAGCGATAGGCGATTAGTGTTCATTGTTTCAGATGGCACGGCTCTCCCCTCCCTCCCGCTTCCCCTTTTCCTGCAACGTACACACACTTGGTTAGGCGCCGCATTTGGACTCAGGTGTTTTAGTTATGTTTTATATTTTTTGTGGTGAGTTCCCGTCAGGCACCCACTTTTAGATGTCGGAGCATCAGCTCTCGTTCCAGCCGCTCTCCAGTGGGCAACATGAATAGACGCACAGCCGCCTATGATTGGCCTTAATGTGCACCAATCACGCCAGCGATGGATCAGAGATGTATTCCTGGCAGTGCCCCGGGTACTGTTGTAAGGTAGGGTGCTGTTGTAGACCACCCTTTGTCCGTGATGACGTCAGATGTGAAGTGATTCCCTGTGAGCTTCCGCCGTCTCCAACATTCTCTGACAACAGCTCGTCTCAAAGCAGTGACAACGCATGATATATATATATATATATATATATATATATATATATGTATATATACATATATATATATATATACACATATATTTGGCCATCTTTGGTGCAAAATGGTTTTATGTTATAATGTATTGTATATGCGTCAGATAAATATATATTGCAACTTTGCACGCCGCCATCGAATGTATTCATATTTGGCCCTCACAAGAATCCTTCTCCATCCTTGAAAACAATTACTTTGGTCAACGCTGACATAAACCAAAAGGTCGGGCGTGAGGCCAACTTGATGCATCGTGGCTTGTTTTGTGCGTACCCCTTTGTCATTAGGGGGCTGACATGAAGATCAAGCGTGTAGTCCATCTGATAATCACATATTGTAGATAGTTTGCGAACTCCCGGGTTTTTTATCCTGTTTGTAACCAGTGTACCTATACTTATGGTTTAACACACGTGCACAAGACATAAACAAAACGAGAACCCCACTCAAGCACGTGCAACGAATTCATCTCAATTAGCACTGGACGTTTTTTGAATGTATTACGATTTTGATTTTCAAATCAAGAAAGAAGGGAAGTCGCAGACGCACAGTGGGATGGTAATATGTTCATGGCTTGGTTCGATGTAATAGGTTTATTCATCAATATTTCTTTGCTACTGACCATTGACATCTGTGCAAGAATCTTTTTGACGGCGAGCGATGTGAAGAACCTGAAATGTTTGGAGTCTCTCATTGCGATGAATTCGTTTTTCTTGTTAATGGCAATTTTTATCGGCAGAAGTATAAGGTGGGTTTGCCTTTGTGTCCAGTGTTCGCCGATGTGTGTATGCCACTATGAAAACGTCTTTCTTTATCCCTGTCCGGTCGAATTCTTTTCTTTCTTTTATCGTAAGTATGTTGACTTTTGATTGCTTATTTTTAGATTAGGTCCCACGATGTTTTATGCCTTTGTTGGACATCTTTCCCCGTCCAGGCCTTGCGACGTTCCGAATAACAAAATGTTTGTCGTTCTACCACACTTTGGCTCAGACTCTGCAAGCCTGAAAGGTCAGTTGATCAGCCTCGTGTCGAAAGTCTATCCATTTTTAGATCCTGCGATTAGGGGCCGTCGGTGCGTCCGTAAGTCCCGTTCGTCATCGTTGATCCTAGGATTTTTTTTTCTGGCGAACTTCGTATCAGTACGCCCTTTCTTCAAACATGAGGGTAGGCTACTCAAATCTGTCAATCGATTGTTGTAGACGAGTTCTATCGTGTCTCGTGAGGCGCATCTCACATAGGTTCCACGCTTAGGAATCTGCACAGCCACATTCAGCAGCATTTCGATAAATCTATCCGGACGGGAGATTTGCTGCCAAACCTGCTCCCCTTCTTCATGCGAGAGCATTCAGTTGCATGTGATGCTGGAGGCTTGGCTTCCAATTTAAGTATCGTAGGCATGGCATATTTGAGAATCATAGTCGTCAAGTGCTAACTTCCAATGCTAAATCGTGGTCTTCAAAGGCTAACTTCAAAAACGAGCTTTCAATGGTAAATATATCACTTCATGGTATCTCTTCAAAATTGCAATGACATTCAGTATATATACATATATATATATATATACATATATATATATATATGTGTGTGTGTGTGTGTGTATATATATATATATATATATATATATATATATGTGTATATATATGCATATATATGTATATATATATATATATATATATATATATATATTATACGCATGTGTGGTGTGTATACTGAGGAGATATGAAATCTCACAATTTCTCGCCGTCTGTGGCATCGCAACAGAGCCTGCGGGATGTGTATGCCTTGCCAGTGTTCCGGAACACGAGGACTGGCACGTTTGAGCGGGAGGAGAACTGTCTCCACCGCGTTTTGTCGGAGCTTGATGTGACAGCGATATCGCCGCGATCAGCAGACTTCTGCAAAGAAAAAGCGAATGGATGGCCTCTGGCATCAGAGCCCACGCTAAGCATTGCCTGTTTCACGAGCCCTGGCATCTATCATCGGATCGCGGAATTCAAGATCAATGGCGGAATCTGGTTCGCGATACTCGACGTGGTCCGACCCGTCCTCTGACGTCACCTGATCTTCAGGGCGGCCGCGGCCACCGACCGCAGGATATCTCAGTCAAGGGCAAGCAGCGGGCGTCTAAAGCGACGGTGGTATCAGGACGGGCGTGCTTCTCCCTGGTATAAGCCTTCATTAAAGAGAGGGCTTCTGGAGACCGATGGGTGGGGGCGGGCTGCCGGCGGTTTTATCGCTAACTGCGCCCGCGGCCACAGCTTATTGTAATACAAGCCCGCGCACAATTGCATTCTGGGTAGGCGACGCTGTGACGTCATCATGGGACTTAATCATATGACGCCAACGTTGCGGTGGCGTGCAAATGTTGTTCTTTGCTGGCTGATTTAAACATAAATATCTCCATAAATCGGATTTTTTACCTAGCACACCCAATGAAGCATTTTCAGCTGGGGAATGGTATCGGTTTGCTCCAGAGCTACAGAATTATTGCTCAAATACGCTTCCAACCTCCCCCGACAGAGAAACAGGGCAGGTAACGCATTCGCCAGTGATTTATTGGGAGTAACTTTAGTCGGAAGTGTTTAAAAACAGCTTGTGAAAAAGGGTACAACATACAACAACAATATATGGTGGGAATGAGGTGCGGCGGGACAGAGGGACTCGTAGCACCCTGGGACGCGCATTGGGAAGTTGGAATGCACATCCTGTAGCCTTAGGGGGAGCGTTGTCAGGATGGATCCAGGGTTGGCCTATCCTAAATGGGGTAGTGAGTGGTTGACCCCGGCAGGCGTAAATGCAGCGCGCGCCATTTCAGTTCAAAATAGGAGATTTTCCTGTACAATGGGATTATTTCTGGCAAGTTCGTAATTTTTACCAGTCAACGCGTCGTAGCCCTTATCTCAGCTGGGAAGTAGACTTGGGGATGTGTTAGGGTAGTCTGGTTATTATTCCCTGTGCACCTTTTTCACCTAACCCATCCTGCATTATGGATCTGCAAGTTAACCAACGCCTGGGAAGGTCATGGCACAGTAGCAGCGAGAGTCTGAGTGCCTGTCCTCCTCACATTACCTTATTTTCACATCGCACTCCATATAGATAATGCAGTGCAAAGATAACTGGGCAATTATTGCCACTCATGAATTTAATATAAACATAACAGGTAATATTTATCTATTTACACCGGAATATGTTTTAACAAAAAGGCAATACCTATAAATGCCTAAGCGCGTCGACTACAGCGAAAATGGTGCAGGTGTTTGAGCTAGAAAATGTGGTTGAGTGGTATCTATTTTTCGAAGCAGATCGTAATATTGATTTGTCTGAAGAAGATTTTGAATGCAAAATGCACATTATATATTTATGTAACACTGAAATAAATAACAGAACGGGATTGTCACCCAGTTCATCAGTGAAATCTTGGTTTTCAATCATGTTCGTAGTTTACTCCAACATTTTCGTCGAATCAACCAAAAACCATACCTTGGATCATCAAACGTTAGTCCTGTGGTGACGTCACGTCTGCTTAGCCTTCCAATCTAGTAGCCTTGGCCGTCAGCAATCTACCGCGCTGTCGATATTGGTCAACAAATTACAGACCACCACATGCCGTTTGTACCCGGCGGCGTCGATGCAGAAGGACGGTTGCAAGTAAATATATATATATATATATATATATATATATATATATATATTCATAAAGTGGAGTTTGATATGTTTGCAGCATGGCTGAAACTGATGGTTTCTGGAGGAGATGGCACGAGGAGATTTTTTGCTGTAGGCTGATGGTTTGGAAACGATATGTTAACCCCATGCTCATGTAAGAACTTATCAGCGTCCAGCCTGATCCATAAAATGGCACACCGGGTCCTTGATTCATGGTGGTAACCAATCAAATAGCATCAGTATAAACTAACAAAACATGCTTTTATGTCCCAGCAAATATTGTTGCCAAGGGCCGAAAAACTTCGTTAAAAACTTCCTAGCCGCTCCAGTCACGTGCAATTGTGTTCCGAGATTGGATGCATTTGTGCCTCAAGGCAAGGAAATTGGTAAACTTCCAAGGCTTTTGTGTTCATATAGTTCTATGCTGTTTCCCTTTTCCTGTCGTTCCCAGGGGATGTCTGAAGTGAACTGGACTTATGTCGGCCGGATCGTAGATCGCGCGTGCCTTTGTTGAACACTGCCGTAAAAGACGGTCGTTTGCTTTCAGCGATCCACCATCGGGCGACGGCGCGGCGCGGGCGGAGCGTTCCGCGGAGGGCGGCAGTGGCGGCGCGGCCGGCGCCGCCCGTCCGGCGGAGGCGGCCCCGTCGCCGGCCGACCGGCCCGAGGCCAGCCAGTCAGCCGCCTGCTGCCCGGAGCGCTCCCAGCCGGTGACGAAGTCCGACAGCGGGGACGCTTGCGGGGCACCCGGGCATCGTCAGTCGACCGCCGAGCCAGCTCTGGTCGGCGCTGTCGCGTCATCGGGCGATCCCCCGTCCGCCGCGCGACCCAACGGCTCGCAGCCGCCCGGCAGGGTTGATCGGGCCAAGTCAAGTTCAAAGCCAGACCGCACCAACTCATCAACGGAGGGTCTTTCCCAGCCTTCGTCGAAGGCGGACTGTCCCCAGCCACCCTCCCAGTCGGACGGTAACAAGCCATCATCAAAGCCAAACCGCCCCGAGCCGTCTGCAAAACGGGAACGTCCCGAGCCCTCTTCAAATGCGGATCGTTTCGAGTCTTCTTCGAAGCCAGACCACCCGGAGACTTCTTCGAAGCCAGGCCGGCCCGAGCCGTCCTGTCAGCGAGACCGCCCAGAGGACTCCTCGAAGCCGGACCGGGCCGAGCGTTCTTCCAAGCCGGAGCGCGCTGAGCCGTCTCCGCGGTCGACGGACCTGAGCCGGCTGCAGCGGCGGCTGCAGGAGCGGCACTACCGGCGCCGCAGCCGCTCGTCCTCCTCGTCCTCGGAGGACGAGCGGCCGCCGCGCCGGCCGTCCTCGGCGCCCGGCGACGCGCTGGCGTTCCTCACGGCCGGCGCGGGTCTGGCCGGCTACGGCCGCGACGGTGAGTCGGGACGGGCGCGGTCTGAGCGGGGAGAGGAGAGTGGAGTGAGAGTGGTGTGCCTGTGGCGTCGCGGCGGGGTTGTGACCCAGGGATCGTGCCTCCCTGGCCCGGGCTGCCGTCTTGATCACTGTTTGGCTTGAACCCCTGACGCGTGTTGCTCTTGCTCTTTATCAGCGACTCGTTTTTTGCAGTTAAATGGCGCTGTTGAATGCCTGCCGCTTTGCGACTGGCAATCACTTTTGACGAACGGTCACTGCTGGTGGGTCAAGGACCGTGCGGTACCGACTGTCGACTCGTGCTTCAGTGACTCTGTATCGGTGACCCGCCCCTCCGGTCCCCGTGCGCCAGAGACCCGCTGAGTCGTGCCTCAGTGACTCTGTATCGGTGACCCGCCCCCCGGTCCCCGTGAGCCAGAGACCCGCGGCGTGCCGGGCAGGTCTGCCAGAGATGGGCCGACATCGCCCATGGCTGTGACGGTGTGGTACGACTGTGACGTTTCCTGTCGCCGGTGTCGGGCGGCCCGCTGACGCCGCCGCGTCCGCCGGTCCCGCTGACCCCGCCGCGCTGTCGCAGTGACCACCTGGTCGGGCGAGCGGTCGCGCCTCGAGAGGGAACGGGAACGCGACGAGCAGCGCCGCCGCCGAGAGCTGGACGACTACAACGACGAGCTGGACGCCGGCAGGGTGAGGCGCCGTGCCCGCTGCCCCCCCCCCCCCCCTCCCTCCCCTTCCCCCTCCCGCAGGTCCTCCCGGCCGCATGAGAACGCTGTCCTCTCTCCTCGCTGAAAGACTCAGGTGTACGCGGGTCCTCCTCCGGGCGTTTTCCAACCCCATAAACGCTTTGCCGCTCAAGCCAAGTCACGAAAGCTAGAATATCTGCTGTTAATCGTCACCACTTCCGACAAACATCATCACCATCACATAGTTACCATTGCTGCTATTTTCATGTGTGATTTGCGGTCGTCAGCAGGGTGACGGACGTGCACTTGCTGTGACGATTTCCACAATCGACGACATTTGCACAGGTTGGAGTTGCGCCAAGCGCCCCCGTCGCCCTTCGCCATACTGAGCACGCTGGGCACCATTCGCGAGACGCGCTGACGTGACGAGCTCGGGCCGTCGTCCCGATCTGCCAGCCCCGCTGTCTGGGCCGGGCGCGATAGCGTGGCGCCAGATATGCCGCCGCGGTGCCTCGCCTCTGGTGGGGCCGGGGCCGCGCTGTGAGCGCCGCCCGCGCCTCTTCGTGACGGGCAGTGGCGCGTGCGGCGGCGGCAGCTCCCGCCGGTGGCGCCCCGCCGGCCGGCGGCGGCGGCTCACGCCGCTGCCTCACGCCACGGACGGCGTCACGCCCGCGGGTCGGTCACGCCATGCCTGGCCGGCGGCTGCTGGCGAGATGGCCGCGGTGGGGTGTATTGCCGCGGCGCCACGACGTCGACGGCTGGACGCTTTGTCGCGACGGTGGTGGGCCCACACCGGTGGTGGGCTCGCACCGGCGGCGGGCCCTCCGCCGCCAGCACGCGGCTCAGGCGAGTGCCGATGCAGCAGCCAAACAGCGGCCGCTGGCACCGCTGTTGCTGGCATATCACGCGTGCCTCCCCTGGGACTCCCTCGCCGTGATCGAAGGCAAGGTTCTGATGGTGGCGTGCGGAGAGTGCATGCTCGGGGCTGGCGCGCCGGGGGTGACGGCGCAGTCTGGGGTCCACTCCATGTATTGAGTCATTCATGTTCAATTTGATCTAGAACGCTCCGTTTTTAAGTGATTCTTGACCACGCCACGTGTGCGTTTGTCATTTGCGACGAGCGGAGGCAGACAACGCGGCGCATGAACTCGCGCCTGCGGCCAACGTGGCGCAGCGTAGCGCAAGCTCAACAGGTAGCCAGCCAGGCGAGGGCACGGTGACGGCCTCCGGCGGCGGACGTCCGGTGCGCACCCGCCGACTGACTGAGCGCTACGCCCCCAATGAGATGCGCGCGGCGCGTCGCCTCATCATGTGTACGAACCGGCCCCTGCCGGAGAGAGTGGCGGCGGTAGTTGTCGCCCCGTATCACCTCATATTTCTAGAGGGGCCATTTACAACGGTCAGATAAGTTGAAGCGGTGCCATCTTTTCAGGGACCTCATTCCCACCGGGCAGAAGCCCTTAGAACATATAGCTCGCCGTCCGTGCATCCCGGTTACTGGGAGGCTCATCAGGGGAGAGTGGGTGTGCTCTTCTTCCGAAATTGATACTGTTGAAATAAATAAAGCGATATCCCCTAATGTTTGGTGTCAGGGGGAAGATCGTTCAGTTATTTATCTTTAAGAACCGAATCAATTCTTGCGAGGGCATTTTTCCATCCATGACATTCGCGACAGTGATGTGGTTTGAATATTATCCACGTTATTCGTTTTGAAATTGATATTCTACTATTTAAATCAGGGCTGTTTATTTGGAATGATGACTACGTCCATAGCGCCGACAATATATGCGGCATAAGTCACTTACAAACACCTCATGCCAATATCGTAGCTTTTGTCTTGCACCATGAAGTGTTATTTAAATGGTAATGCATTTATTTGGACATAGATACTCAGGCTTCCGTAACCAGCTAAATGCCAGGGACAAAGGATGCCAAAGGTCATAACAAGCCAAAGGTCGCGGCATAGGTCACGGGTATATTTCCCTGTACCACCAGCATCAGTATCACCAGCATCAGCCACCGGCATCATCATCGGCGCAGGGAACCCGGCCGTAGCACGCCGGGTACTGGACCCATTCCTCGCAGGACCTGTCGAAGCGCATGCTGCAGATGATGCAGATGGTCTCGCCTGGCTTCGGTGAAGAGATGTTGCGTGGCGCAGGGCCTCCAATGCGAGTTGGATATTTCTGACCGTGGGAGCACCTGTCAGTTGTGTGGTCTTCCGTTCGCCCCATCGTGTCGTACCCTGACAGACCGCAAAAATGGGCAGAATGAGAAAATCATGGGAGATACATGCAAACGGTGCAATCAAGCACAGGGCAACCGCGCCCATTTCCCGCCAAAGAGTGGGTCCAACTATAGTTATTCATCTCCTGCGTGTTCAAGCATTGCCTTTGCGGTGCTTAAGTGGGAAAACGTACCATGACAGTGAAAGTCGATGCGCACATTGACCGAACTGAAATGCAAATAGTGTGAGGGTGTGGAATGCTCGAGTTAGGTAGGTCGTCCATGGGCGCGTTGTATCCGACTTTTTTGGGTGCGTCTAACACATACACGCACGTGTACAAAAATAAACACCCATCGTTGGTTAAATTACTCAGCGGATGATGCGAACCCTTCGTCCTTTTTGTTTCTCTCTCCCGTTTAACAGAATTGTTTGCTGCAGTTGAAGCACATTCTGAACCAGTGAGGAACTGCTCAGATTAGGAACCTTGCTAAGTCACAAACCTTCAAGCTGCCCCATGAGTTGTCGAACGTTCACCAGCATTCGCCGTAGACGGCTATAGAGCACCGTTCATGCCCACTTCTGTTAGTTTTATGAAAACACGATTCTCGTGATCTCGCGCCTGTGATTACGCAGCCTAGCAGGGCATTTGCATATTCCAAGAGCACAGACAGATCTTGTTGCGATACGGGAGGCCATCCACCCGCAGGCCCCGGTCGTCGGGCGTGCTGACTCACGCGCCGTCACCCCCTCCGGCCGGCAGGTGAAGAAGTCGCGCGGGCGCGTCGAGCGGCCGCCGTCCGAGCACAACCCGTTCCAGCGGCTGCAGGAGGAGCGGCGCGCCGGCCCGACTCGCTCGCCGTCGTCGGCGGCGCGCCGCCACCGGCGCCACTCTCCCGACGACGAGCGCCGCCGGCGCCGCCGCCACGAGCGCCACGAGCGCCGCCGCAGCCGCGAGCGCGTCTCGCGGTGACGCGGCGGCCGTGCGGCCCGGCGGCCGGGGCGGCAGCAGGCGACCTGACGGCGGTTGGCGGCGCCTGCGCCGATGAGATGACGTCATCCGCGCCTGGTGGGTGACGTCACCGGTGGCTGACGCGCGGGGACGGCGCGGCGGTGCGCGACGGACAAGTGCGGGTGGTGGCAGCGCCGCGCGTTATCCCGTGGCGGCTGTCCAGCGCCGGGCGACGGGCCCCGCGCCGGAGACGGCGTCGGAAGCGATGGCGCCCGGTGCGCGTGCCAGCTGGCGGCGGGAGTGCTGTGACCGGGTGCTGGGGCAGATCAGCGGGCGCCCGGCGCCGGCTCAGCGCCGCGTCAGCGGTGCGCCACACCCGCCGAGCCGGCTCAGGCCACACGCTGTGATGCCTGCTGCGAGTAAGCTGCGTTCAAAGGACACGACGTTCGCCCGGCGAGCCGCACCGTGTGTGCGCCGCCGCTGTGGATAGTGTAGCATAGTGGCGCTGAGGGTATCAGCGCGGCGAGCGCGCGGCGGCGTGGCACGCCGCCGGCAGTGCAATGTACGTGACGGGCCGGCGCCAGCGATGCCAGTCGGAGGCCTGGCTGGCGAGACGCTGATGACGTTGATGCGGGTTGTGGCGATGCAAGTGCGGGCTTGGTGACGGTGTTACAGACTGCGGCGGGGCTGATTGCGGGCGTTGCATTGCGTGGCAGCCGGTCGAGACTGCTCAAGGTCAGCCGGCGATGGCGCGCGCGGCGCTGGCCAGTGATTGGCCGCACGGGTGAACCGCTTTGACTTGATTGGCCCGGGGTTTAGGTGACCAACCCGTGACGTGCCGTTTTTGCGTGTGACTGCCACGCGGTTGGTTGTCCGTTTGTAGAACCGGTGGTGACTGGTCGTCGATGGAAGCGGCCTGTTTTCATCGGTCGACTGGGCCCGGCTACGTTGACCAGCCCTGGGTGGCGAGGTACAAAGACTGGTCGACTGCCGTCAATGTGCTGGCCAAACAGGCCTGTTGTTGGCATGTGTCGTGTTGACCGGCAGCGGTGGCGTTTTTTCGTCCGAGGTCCAGGATTCACCGTGTACGATCTGCTTCGTATCAACGTTTGATTTTTTGGTCGCGACCTGGTATTTGGTGGGGATTTGAGGCGTCTTTGGGGCGTTTTTGGAGGTGGGTGCGATCTGAAGGAATTCGTGATCGTTTGATCTGAAGCCTTCCGTGGCAGGAAATGTTTCACATTTTTCGTTTTTCTCGCGATTATGTCTTGCTGGTGATGCGCGCGTTTTCGATACTTTACTGAAGCGACTAACATAGTTTTGTGTTGCACGCCGCCGGCTGCAGGATGGTCCTTGTCGATTTACCTTGCCACCGCGCTGGCGTCCGCGGAAGAGAGGTGCCCGGCACTGATCCCCGCGAGCCGCCGCCTGGCTGGGTGGACTGACCCGCCGGGCTCCTTGCCGGCCGCCGCCCGATGTACTCTGCGACGCGCCGTTGGCCCGCGGCTCGTGTGGCGTCGCAGTTGTTTGATACACGGTGTAACGCGATCGTTTGTCTGGTCTGCCAGACGGGATGCCGGTGATTGGTGGGCCGCGCTCGAGACACGAGACATTGACCGGTGGAGGTCGTTTTCGCCGAGCGGCCGGCTGCGACATCGCCGACGTGCTGGGAATGCTGCCAGCTGATCTTGACGGTAGCGTCCACAGAGCGCCGGGCACGAACCGGCTCGGGTGTCTATGTGTTCCCGGACGGCGGGCACCGGTCTCTAGGCGGCAGCGCCTCCAGGCTGTGCTGACGGCCTGTCGCTGGGTGCTTGATGCGGGTCTGCAGCGGCCGTGTGGAGAAAGTGGAGCACAACTGGACGATGCATACGGTATAGGCGTATATACGATATAAACGGTATAGGTGTATATACGATGTAGACGATATAGGCGTATATACGATATAGGCGTCCGTTCCAATGCATCTGCGGCTATCCCACTGCGATGCGACCCACTTCTGTGTCTTCACCAGTGATATTTGCTCTGAATCACTCGCACGGGTGCGTTGGGTCGCGCGGCGCACACCAAGCTGAGCTCTCTGGACCCCGAACCCACTTCGTAAGTAACGCGGTTGCCGCTTTATCGGTAATCTCACTCCCAGCTGACCTTTATGCGCTGACGGGACCGCGGCGGGATCTTTTTCGGGGCGTGCGGCTAGAGTGCCACTATGAAATCCATATGGCGCATGACACGGATTTCGTCAGCTTCCCAGCTCCGGCAACACCCATATGGCTTGCCTCGTTCTGGAGTATTGCATCTCCTTTTGAGCATTTCATCTCGTAATTCAGCGAACACGAGCGGCCCGAATGGGGGTATCTGACGGACTCGACTCGACGATAGCACTCGACCGGTGGCTGGATTGATGATGCCGGTCAGTGGGCTCGTCAGCGGTCTGTGGGCTCGTCAGCGGTCTGTGGGCTCGTCAGTGCCTGGTGCTGAGCGGGGGCAAAGTCAGTTGGAATCTACCAAACTTAAGCGAAGTTAAGGTGCACTGAATGATGTTCAAAGTTGGAGCGAGCTGAATTTGAGTTCAGCGTATCCAGTCATAAAGTGCGGCTGACCGGGAGAATCAGAGCGCGCACGCCTCAACCAGTTGGCGGTCAGCAAAACAGCTGCCGTCATCTGTTAGATCTTGATAGCCTATCTGGAAGTGGATCATTTCGCCAGAACTTATGTTGACTTCGAGAGTAATCTGCACACAGTTCACAAACGTGCCTGTTGATCAAATCGAACTCACCATCGAGGTTGGTTTAGCTCTGACGAAACCGGTCAGACCGGTCAGCGCTTTATAGTGTTGTAATATATTTAATATAAGTATATATATGTATATATATATATATATATATATATCTCTCTCTCTCCTCTCTCTCCATCTCTCTCTCTCTCTCTCTCTCTCTATCTCATCTCCTCTACGTCCTCTCTCTCTCTCTCTATCTCTCTCTCTCCCTCTCTCTTCTCTCGTGCGCGTGTGTGTGTGTGTGTGTGTGTGTGTGTGCGTGTGTGTGTTGCATTCATTATTGTTTCCGGCTGCCCCATTTAGGGCTTCTTCCTAGACGGTTGCAGTTTTACACAAAGGTGTGTGCTCTGACACGGACTTCCGCGACTTTTTTTAGCAACTTTCAGAATGCTCAGAATTCCGAAGCGATTTCGCACTGCTCTCAGCAAAGATCGCACCGCAAGGCCATCGAACGGCGGGTAACGCTGAGACTCATGGAGTGAGATCTTTCAAGACAGCTGGGTTTCTCTAAAAGTGGAACCTCATCTGGTAGGGAGAGACCGGCCGCTGCTCTGGTTAGGACAGACTAGCCGCGGCGCTGGTCAGGGGGAACCGGCCGCGGCGCTGGTCAGGACAGATTGGTCGCGGCGCTGGTCAGGAGAGACTGGCCGCGGCGCTGGTCAGGGGAACCGGCCGCGGCGCTGGTCAGGACAGACTGGCCGCGGCGCTGGTCAGGACAGACTGGCCGTGGTGCTGGTCAGGACAGACTAGCCGCGGCGCTGGTCAGGAGAGACTGGCCGCGGCGCTGGTCAGGAGAGACTAGCCGCGGCGCTGGTCAGGGGAACTGGCCGCGGCGCTGGTCAGGACAGACTGGCCGCGGCGCTGATCAGGACAGACTGGCCGTGGTGCTGGTCAGGACAGACTAGCCGCGGCGCTGGTCAGGAGAGACTGGCCGCGGCGCTGGTCAGGAGAGACTAGCCGCGGCGCTGGTCAGGGGAACCGGCCGCGGCGCTGGTCAGGACAGACTGGCCGCGGCGCTGGTCAGGACAGACTGGCCGTGGTGCTGATCAGGACAGACTGGCCGCGGCGCTGGTCAGGAAAGACTTGCCGTGGTGCTGGTCAGGAGAGACTAGCCGCGACGCCGGTCAGGACAGACCGGCCGCGGCGCTGGTCAGGACAGACTGGCCGCGGTGCTGGTCAAGAGAGACTGGCCGCGGCGCTGGTCAGGACAGACTAGCCGCGGCGCTGGTCAGGACAGACCGGCCGCGGCGATGGTCAGGACAGACCGGCCACGGCGCTGGTCAGGAGAGACTAGCCGCGGCGCCGGTCAGGACAGACCGGCCGCGGCGCTGGTTAGGACAGACTGGCCGCGGCGCTGGTCAGGAGAGACTTGCCGCGGCGCTGGTCAGGAGAGACTAGCCGCGGCGCTGGTCAGGAGAGACCGGCCGCGGCGCTGGCCAGGCAGGGGAAACGTTCCACACTGCACAAACGTTCTAGAAAGACCAGTCGGACACGCCACGGGTCAAATCTAGTAGTTCCAGCTCCGTCCTTTCGAAAACATGGGCCGGCATAGTTTACATGGCATTTCCCTCGTCTGGCCGTGTGCTCGCACCTCGTCGCCCGCATGTGAACCGCGGCAGTGTTGACATTTCAGATTAGCGCCCGCCAGGTCAACAGACGTCCGGCGGCTGTGTTTGCCGACACCGCTGGATTAAAAATCCTGTCGCGCCGGCGCTAATCAGACGCGCGTGCTTACATCAGGAGGCGGATGACGCGCTGTCGCTGCAGGGGAGGGTGGGGGCGGGGGGGGGGGGGCGGGGTGGACCTCGGTCTCCCGTGGCGATGTGTTCCGCGCCGGCAGCATCGCGGACATGCCTTCTGAGAGTGTTGTGGACCGCAGACTGGTGTTTATTAGTGCTCCTAGGTTTTGCTAGCTCGTTAAAAGTGTAAGTTAGGGTGCTGAAGCGCCGCAGCATCTGAAATCTGCACTTGATGTCTGTTAACTATGTGTGCAGGATGTCTTTGTCTGTCTTGTCCGTCTGTTTGTTTGTTTTTTTCGTTGAACATGTCTGCATGTCAAATGGTAAGAGATACAGGGATGCAATTAGGTGGGGCGGGGGGGGGGGA